TTCTCTAAATCCCTATTGATTAGAGAAATACAAATTAAAACAACTCTGAGGTACTATCTCACACCTATCAGAAATGATAAATGCTGGAGGATATGAGGGAAAAATAAATACACTAATGCATTGTTGGCAGAGATATGAACTGGTCCAGCCATTCTGGGAAGCAATTTGGAACTATGCCTGAACGACTATAAAATGGTGCATATCCTTTGGCCCAGCAGTACCACTACTAGGTCTGTATCTCAAAGAGATCAAAGAAAAAGGGGGAAAAAAAACTTATATGTAAGAAAATATTGATAGCAGCTTCTTTGTGGTGGCAAAGAATTGGAAACTGAGGGGATGTTCATCAATTGGGGAATGGCTGAACAAGTTGTATAATGTAATTGTGATGGAATATTACTGTGCTATAAGAAATGATGAGGGGGTGGCTTCAGAAAAACAACAACATGGCAACACCTAAATGAAGTGATGCAAAATGAATATGTTATTGTGCATAGTAACAGCAATGTTGTGATGATGATCAGCTGTGAAAGACTTAGCTGTTCTGATCAGTGCAATGATCCAAGACAATTCCAAAGAAGCTCATAATGAAAAAAAAATAATGCTGTCCACCACCAGGGACACAACTGATGAACTGAGTACAAACTGAAGCATAATTTTCTCACTATATTTTTCTTGGTTTTTTTTTGTGATATGGCTAATAAGGAAATATGTTTTGCATGATTTCACATGTATAATCGATATCATATTGCTGCCTTCTCAGTAGGTGGGGAAGGGGGTGGAACAGAGTGAGGGAGAGAATTTGATTTAAGATGGGGGGTGTAATTCCTTAGATGGGGAGGATACATTATACTCTACTGGCTAAAGGTCAGATAGAGCTAATACTCTTTACCTGGGAGGTGATAATCATAGCAAGAGAGAAAAGGGTCACAGGATCACCATTCCCTTCCATTCATGTGACCAACTCTTGAGCCATTGACTGACTTGAAGGCATCCGAGTCTTAGGGAGAAAGAGTCCCAGGCTCAGATACACATGCACATTTACAAACACATACACACACATACACACACACACACACACACACACACACACACACACACACACGCACATTTACACCCCCCCCCCAGAACTGGCTATACTTGGTGCCTCTGTTTCCTTTTCTCTCACTCTCTTCTTCTTTTTTTTTTTTTGGCTAGGCCATGGGGTTAACTGACTTGCCCAAGGTCACACAGCTAGTAAGTATTAGGTGTCTGAGGCTGGATTTGAACTTGGGTCCTCCTGAATCCAGGGCCGGTGCTCTATCCACTGCGCCCCCAGCTGCCCCTGACTCACTCTCTTCTTAACCCCCTGAAATCTGGCTTCTGACATCATCACTAAACTGAAACTGCTCTCTCCAAAATAGCCAACAACTACTAATCACCAGTTCTAAGGTCCCTTCCTGATCCTGGTCTTCCTTGACCACTCTTCAGTATTTGACCCTGTTGACCACCCTTTCCTCCTGGAGCTTCTCAGCTTTCTAGTGTTCATTGATACTGATCTCTCGTAGTTGTCCTCCCGCCTTTCCTTCATTTCCTTTTTAATCAATCAGTCAACATTTATTAAGTACCTGCTGAGACAGTCTCCACCCTCAAGGCTGTGTCTTGGAGCCCCTGCTCTCTTCTCTCTCTACTTTATGCTCTCTCTTTTGTGACTTCATCAACTCTTACAGGTTTAATCAGCATCTCTAAGCAGTTGAATCGCATCTATCTATCTATCTATCTATCTATCTATCTATCTATCTATCTATCTATCTATACACACACACATACATACATACATACATGCATACACACATACATATACACACATGCATATACATATATATATTTATATGTATATACATTTCTACATATGCATACATATATACACATATACATACATACATATACACATGTGTATATGTATATAGGTATGTGTGTGTACACATATGTGTATACACACATAATTAAAATCCTAGTCTGTCTTCTAAACCCAATCTCACAACATAAGTTACTTACTTCGTGTTTCCAAGCAGATGTCCCAGAGATATCTCAAAACCAAGAGATATCTCAAAACCAACATGTTGTCCAAAGAATAACTCATTTTCTTTTCCACGAAACCTATCTCTCTTCTGAACTTCCCTATTACTGCAGAGGGAACTACCTTTTTTCTAGTTACCAAGGTTCAGACTCCGGATAATCCTTCACTTGTCGTTCTCATTCAACCCACACAGCTGTCTTTTTAGTCAACGAGTCTTGTTTCTCTCTCTTTCTGTCTCTCTTTCTCTCTGTCTGTCTGTCTCTCTTTCTGTCTGTCTGTCTCTCTCTGTCTCTGTCTCTCTCTCTCTGTCCAATGTCTCTCCATAAATCTGCTCCTTTCCATGCACACAGCCATTCTCATTCAACCCACACAGTTATCTTTTTAGTCAACAAATCTTGTTTCTCTCTCTTTCTGTCTCTCTGTCTCTCTTTCTCTCTGTCTGTCTGACTCTCTTTCTGTCTGTCTGTCTCTCTCTCTGTCTCTGTCTCTCTCTCTGTGTCCAACGTCTCTCACATAAATCTGCTCCTTTCCATGCACACAGCCATCACCTTACTTTGGGCCCTTATTATCTGTCTGCCAAACCATTGTAATACTTTCCTAATTGATCTCCCTTCCTCACCTCTATCCACTCCAGTCCATCCTCCATACAGTCCTGATCATTTTATCCCCTGCTCCATAAACTCCAGTGACTCCCTAGAATCAGATGTCAGACCCTCCATTTAGCATTTATATCTCTTCATGCCTTCCCAGTGTTGTTGCGCCCTACTCCCCACCTCCTACTCTGCAATCAAGCTTGATTTATCTGCTGGCTGTTAGGCACAGCCCATCTTCCACCTCTGTGATCTTGTGTCCCCCATACTTAGAATGGCCGCACCCTTCTCCCCTCCACTTCTTGGAATCTCCATGCTCCTCCAAGACTCAGTGAAGGTGCTACATTCCACCCTTGTTTTCTTGGTTCCCATTTAATTCTGGTTGTTTTCACTCTGGTAGGCACTTTCCAACAATGTTCCCCTCTCCCTCATCCCCGCATGCCCTCCACTGAGTTGCTGTGAATCGATCTCCTTTGGCCATGGCTGAGACCTGATGACTAGTTCTGTCCTGTTCTCCGTGCCTCTTAACTGATTGCCCCTCCCCATAATTACAGACTGGATCCCTGGTACTCTGCCTTGCCCAGCAGGATACAGCAGTGACTCTGGTATTTAAAAATTAACTTGAGTCCAAAAATTTCCAGATTTTATTTACTTCATATTCAAGAAATACAGGTAAACAGATGATTAAGAAGCCAAGGCTCATAAGTACAAAAGATTTACAAGGTATTCTTAATGGCCTACAAACATCCCACCAATATCAAAACCAATCTGTTTTAACAAGAGCTTCTTCTTTCCTTTTCAAATATTGTTATTTACCATAGAAACTTTTACTCTTTATTATTTTTTCTTATTATAGTATTTCTTCCCCTTCTTAACCTCCTTCATACTTTGACAAATTTAAAAGTTATTAAAGCTAGACATCACTTTTTACCCCCCAAGATAATTTTTATTAGTAACCTAGTAAACATCATTAAACACATTATGATACAAACAAAATTTTGGAAAAAAAATTAATTACATGAAAAAACATTAACTTCCATTGTCTTTGATGTTTTTAGAAGAAAAAAAGTATATATTAACTGTAACAAAATAGTAACAAAATCTCAGGTGCGGCCTTTTGACTGAGTCTAAGATTTACAGAACAAATCCTTTTGTTAAGGGGATTTGTTTTGTGAAGTTTGAAGTCAGTCAAAAGGGCCGCACTTGAGGACCTTGAGGGCCACATGTGGCCTTGAGGCTGCAGGTTCCCCACCCTTGCATTAACCCCTGAAGCCTGGCCATGCTTATGAAGAATTTACTGGGAGATGATAGATAGATAGATAGACAGACAGACAGATAGATGTATAGGTGGATCGATAGGTGATAGATAATAAATTGATGGATAGGTAGATAGGGAGATTTGGTTTTTTGTTATTTACATATTTCAACACCAACCTGTTCGAAGTTTTGGCTTCTGAAGGACTTCCTTTCCCCCCCTTCCTATTGCACCCCATTCAGCACTTTTTAAAAGTAGTTTTCCCATGGTATAAATATAACATTTTTTTCTGGGAAGCAAGGGCTTGGGTCCCCTTGACTGTTTATTCTTTAACAAACAAACGAAAAAAAAGAATGTGTTCTCATTCTTTTAAGTCTAGTTGTGAACTAGATTCTGCTCAGTGATTTCACAGTTCTGAACCAATTGCTTCTTAAAGGCTGGCAGGAGTGTCTGGAAACATCTTATATTCAACTAATTCAATTCAACAACCATTTTACTGTGCTGAGTAAATCTGACTTTGACTTCAATTAAACGATTACTATGTACCAGGCACTGTGCTAAGAAGTTGACTGTATCACAAGTCTACAAGTATTCCAAGGAAAACCAGGTGTAATTCCTAGTTAACTTGGAGAGTCAAGAACCCTTGACAACCCCACCAAGGAGTTCTTACCCCACCACACCCCCAACCATAATTTCTCAATATTCACACATATATCAAATGTATAAAGGAAAAGGCCGGCTATTAGTGGAGAATGAGAAATGATTTATTTATGAAATGAAAATGGCGCTGGGTTTAGCGTCCATTGCTCTAACTTTGCACTCCAGTTCCACCATTTCTGTAGCTGTGTGGTCTCATAATTCCAGTTCTGCCACTTTCTGGCCACGTAGCCACATAAACTCTCTGGGCCTTCGTTACACTGTCTGTAAAGTGAGTCACTTGAAGTAGTGGTTAGAATGCTGGACTTGGGGTCAGGACAGACCTGAGTTCATATCCCACCTTTGATACTTATTAGTCCTAGAAGAACTGGGCTTTCTTTCTTTGAAAAGGTCTCAGAGGGGCAATTAGGTGGTGAAATGTAGAGCACCTGGCCCTGGAGTCAAGAAGACCTGAGTTCAAATCCAGTCTCAGACACTTACTAGCTGTGTGACCCTAGGCAAGTCACTTAACCTCCCAAAGAAAAAGTCCCAAGAGTCAGGTTAGAAGATCTAGATGAAAGTATGCATTAGTAAATCAAGTAAGAAGTCTTTATGGAGCATGTGTTCTGTCCTTAGATTGGAGCTGAGTACCTATCTTTGCCCTCAAGGAACTTACGTAGCTTGGGAGGCCAAACAAACAAGTAAAAAAAAAAAGGAGAAAGCAAAGTATTTCACCAAGGAAGTAGGAGCGTTAAGTGCCCAGGGGAGGCAAAGACTGTCATGGGCTGAAGTGGCCAAAAAATGACCATTTGGAAGGAGGATTCAGATACTCAGAGTGGAGTAGGAAAGACATTTTACAAATATTATCAACCAAGTAATGGAAGTGGAAATAGGCATGGTTTATAGATGGTACAATGAGGAGATGCATGACATTACATGGATGTGTTCATAATAATAATTTATCTAAATATTTATCGATAGGTTTACTGGTGCAATCTATATGACTGATCTCATTTGACTCTCAAAATCCTGTGTGTTAGATAATGGAGCTTTTCTCACACCCATTTTACAGTTGGAGCAGTAGAGTCTCAGAGACTTTAAATGACCCACTCTTAATCACATAGCTCAAAAGCCTCCAAAGTGAGATTCAAAGCCAGGGCTTTCTGCCTCCAAGGCTCTATCTACTACACCACACTGCCCCAGGCTATGTTGGAGGGTGATGGAAAATTAGTTTGCATCATGAAAGTGGGAACAGATCCTTTGGAGGACCTTGAGAGCTTGAAAAAGGAGTCATTTGGTTGGGTAGGCAAACTGGAGCGCTTAGAGTTTCTTTAATAAGGGAATGGCGTGTGACAGTGCTGTTTCATGTGGTGGAAGTGCATAGGCATTACTGAAGAGGGGAGAGCCTGGGAGTAAGCAGGCATGCACGGTAGGACTGAGACACTCTATCTCTGCCAGTCTCCATTTTCCCAAGAGTTGTGAACAGGTATTATTGCTCTTCTCTATACATAAGGTGGCTTCCTAGGGGGACCCAATGAATGTTTCTCCTTCTCCCACTCTTGTGCAGCTCACCTTAGAGAGACTGCTCTGTGGTGCCTTTCAGAGAAGGATCGAACCGTCTCCCTCACTTGTGTAGCTCGTAACACTGGCACTTACGATGGTACTTTCTCGCTTGTGAGCGTCAGGGGATAGGAACTGAGAGCGGGCATCATGACTACACAGGATGGACAGGCATTTCCTATATAAATGGTAAAGGTATTTCCTGAATTTTTCGCCAGCAAAAGCATAGATGAAGGGATTGAGGCAGCAGTGGATGAAGGCAATTGTTTCTGTCACGTTCATGGCAAGCCTTAGGTCCTTCTTCAACTCACAACTATCAAAGAGGTTGTAGTATTTGAGTGTTTCCAGGAAGATCATCACATTGTAAGGTGTCCAGAAGAGGAAAAAGACAATTACCACCACCAATATCAGCTTGATCGTCCTTGCTTTTTTGTGGTTTTTGCAAGAAAATATTGTCCGGATGATCCCAAAATAACAGTAGCACATGATGAGAAGTGGGACCATGAAGCCAAGGAAATTTGTTTCCACATTCTGGAGCACAGGCCAGATATCCTGAAGAACGTCAGGGTAATTAGGCAGACACTCATTATCCACTTGTTCAGTGAACATGAACTGGGGGGTTGCAACGAGGATGGCCGTCGTCCAGATGCCAAGACTGACTACGACGCCATGTTGGACTGTCCTGCTATTGAGGGAGTTGGCTGCCAGGACTATCGCCACATATCTGTCAATGCTTATGATAGTGATAAAGAAGATGCCGCTGAAGTAGCCAATGAAGTAGAAGGCAGTGATGAGCTTGCATAAGGCATTGTTGAAGCCGTGCTCATTTAGCACGTAGTGGGTCCAGAAGGGAAGGGTGGTGACAAAGAGCAGGTCAGATAATGCCAAGTTGAGGAGGTAAATGTCTGTGATGCTTTTATGTTTGCCGCTGTTGGTGAGTGCAAGGACCACCAGCATGTTCCCCACCAGGCCAAAGGCAAAGACAAGGGAGTAAAGAGTGGGTAGGAAGATGATCCCGAAATCCAAGACATTCCTCTGGTCACAGGCGATGGGAAAGTTTTCATAGCTGTACATAAATGTGGTTGTTTCAAAGCTTGTTTCAGTCATGGTGAAAGAGAGGTAACTGAGGAAATAAAATAACAATCACGTTAGCCAGCAGAAAGGGCAGAATTCTATAGCTGACCAAGATTGCTCTCAGGACAAGTTGCAAGTTAGGTCAAAATCCCAGTTTTGTACTTAAGTCCTTAAAAGTAATCCTCATGAATACACCTAGTCAAGCAAAACAGATTCCCATGTTGGTCACATCCAAAAAATGTACGTCTCCTTCTGCATATTTAGTCCATTATATCCATCAAGTGAAAGATGTGGGGGGAGGAGGGAGAGATAATAATACTTGTTAAAGGAAAAAAAAAATTAAAAGCAATTGTAAGATCTGCCTTTCTTTTCTTTTTGGGTAAACAGCACGGCCTTCGGCATCCCTTTTCTCTGAGTGTTCTCTCCCATTCTTCACCTTAACTGAACCCTGACTCTCTCAGAAGTGGGCTGCACCCCTTAAACCTTCTGTAGTGGAGACTCTATCTTGTTCCATCTCCTGGGGTATCAGGAGAAGCTAATTCCTTGACCCTTGTAGACCGTTTGCCCCAAGCAGAAAGCCAGTTCACATAATTCAGCCCCAAGACAACTTCTCCCTATCCTTCACGATACTCATTTTGACTAAGTTCAATACAAGTGGCAAAACCTACTTCCCCTTACTTACCTGCTGTTGTATGTATTTTTTGGCGTTTTTCTTTCATAAAAGCTTTGTTTTACTTATGTCTTTTATTTATAACACAACATTAAATTCTGAATACAAAAGCCGTCCCATGTGACAAAGATTAAGGGAGGGAGAAAAAACACTTCAATGAAATCAATCAATACATCATCTTTTTAATGTTTTCTAAAAGAAGAGCCGTTGACAGAAGAGTCCATGTACTCGGTGCCTAACCTAGAGAATAATTTTGTGGGTCAAGTTTCCCATAATCCATTTCTATGCAGTGATTTTTTTTTTAAGTCCAGACCTGAACTTACCTAGTGATTGACTTTTCCCTGAGAGAGAACCTTTTGGCAAGAGCCACCTCTACTTTCTCTCTTAACTCTCTACTCTGTTCTTAACCCCTTACAATCTGACTTCCAACCTTATTATTCCAATGAAACTGCCCTTTGCAAAGTTACTAGTGATCTCTCAGTTGCCAAATCCAGTGGTCTTTCCTCAAAACTCACTGTTCTTGACCTTTCTGCAGCCTTCCACATCACTGATCATATTCTCTTCCTCGAGACCCTCTTCTCTCTAGATTTTTGGGACACCTTTCTTGGTTTTTCCTCTTTGATAACTCTTTCTCTGTCTCCTTTGTCAAATGCTCTTCCAGGTCACTCCCTCTAACCATGGGTGTCCCTCAGGGTTCTGGCCTGGGCCCTCTTCTCTTTCTCCTCTATACCACCTCACTTGGTGATCTCTTCAGCTCCCATGCATTTATGGTAATGTTTATGATAATGATTCTCTATGATAATGATTCCCAAATCTACCTATCCTTCCCCAATCTCACATCTCTACCTGCCTTTCAGACATTTCAAACAGGATGTCCAGTAGACACCTTAAACTCAATATGAGTAAAACAGAACTCAGTATCTTTTCCCCTAAGCTCTCTCCCCACCTCATTCCTTTTCTATTACTGTAGAGAGCACCACCATCCCCCCAGTGCCTCAGGCTCACAACCTAGGAGTCCTGGACTCCTCACTATCTCTCACCCCCATATGCAAGTTGTTTCCAAGCCCTGATGATTTCACCTTTGCAAAATCTTTTGAACTCACTCTCTTCTCTCCTCTAACACCATCACCTCTCCTAGGACAGCCCTTCATCACCTCACACCTAGACTACTGTAATATCTGCTGGTAGGTCTGCCTTCCTCAGTTCTCTCCCCACTCCAATCCATCCTCCCAATTAGTCACTTAAGCGATTTTCCTAAAGTGCAGGTCCCATTATGTCATCCCCCACCCTCAATAAACTCTAGTGGCACCCCATTACCCCCAGGATTGAATACAAAATGCTCTGCTTGGCATTCTAAACCCTTCATAATCTAGCCCTCTCCTTCCTTTCCAGGCTTCTTCCACCTTAACTCCTGGGTCACATTCTCTTCAATCCTGGCTGTTCTACAAACAAGACACTCCCTATCTCAGCTCTGGGCATTTTTTCTGCTTCGCATGCCTGGAATACTCTCCTTCTCCACTCTGACTACTGACTCTGACTTCCTTTGAGTCCAAATTAAATTCCCTGTTTTCCCAGAATCCTTCCCCAACCCCTCTTAATTCCATGCCTTCCCTCTATTAATTATTTCCTATTTATCCTATATATGGAGAGAGCTTGTTTGTACGTATTCCTTTACTTGCTGTCTCCCCCGTTAGATTGTAAGCTCCTTGAGGGAGGGAACGTCTTATGCCTCTTTCTCTATGGCCAGCACTTAGCATGCTCCCTGGCACATAGCAGATGCTTGATAAATGTTTATTGATTGATTATTGATTGATTGACGTTGTGTCTTCATGCTTGCCTTCACTTTTCCAAAATACACCACATGCAGGTTGACCTTAGAAACCCAGGGAACAACCCAGACCTAAACTCCCTCAGAACATTTGGTTCCCACCCACCCAAAGACCTGACACTTTTCCCCACCTCCAAATACGTACACATAGAGCTGATACTTGTTTACTAGTCAGTTGCTTTGTACACCTTGTGATTATGTAAAAATTATTTCATTTTTCAACCCACAGAGATCAAATTGTGGTGCAGTTTCTAAAATTAGGACTTAATCTTTGCTTCCTAAAGCCAGGAAGGGCCTAGCCCCAATCAGGGCCCACTACAGTGCCTTGCACTTAACAGATTTTTATTTAATTGAATTGAATATGTCTGATTGAGGGGAAGCTAGGTGACGCAGTGGATAGAGTGCCTGAGGTTAGAGAGACTCATCTTTGTGAGTTCATTCTGACCTCAGACACTTACTAGCTGTGTGGCCCTGGGCAAGTCACTCAACCCTGGTTGCCTCAGTTTCTTCATCTGTAAAATAAGCTGGAGAAGGAAATGGCAAACCACTCCAGTATCTTTACCAAAAAACCCCAAATGAGGTCATGAAGAGTCAGACACAACTAAAATGACTGAACAACAACAAAGTCCCACCTTCTACAGGAAGCCTTTCCCAAGCCTTCTTAATTATTAATTATTTCCTCTTTATTCTGTATATATTGTTTGTAATATTTTGCATGTTGTCGCTTCTATTAGGTTGTGAGCAGGTAGAGTCTTTTGCCTCCTTTTATATCCCCAGAGCCTAGCCTAGTGCCTGGCACATAGTATGGGCTTAATAAATGTTTATTCATTGATTGATTGAAGTGTATCTTGAACTCAAGTCTTCCTATGTCTGAAGTAGGTTCTTTACTCACTATGTCAAGCTCCATCCTTGCAAATTAGCATGGTAGACTAGGATTATGATGATCTTAGAGTCATGAAGAGCCAGGCTTATACCCTGCCTCAGATACTTGTTCAATCTAACTAACTGTTCAATCCTTGGTAAATTGATTAACCTCTCTGTGACTCAGTTTCCCTCATCTGTAAAATGAGGGGTTGGACTTGACAACCTCAAAGGTCCTTTCCAACTCTAAATCCTTGATCATATGAAATACCCCTTTAATTGGTCATGTCTATCGTTGTCTATGATGGCTGTGGAAATAGCTCTGACCTTAGACTCAGAAGACCTGGGTTTGACTCCTTACCCTCTGGGATCCTCATTTATGAAATAAGGATAAAAATATTTGTGCCCCCTCCTCCAGAGGGATATTTTGAGTAAAATGCCTCATAAATATGACTCATTTCTATTATTTTGAGGGTTCAAGGAAAATAAAGTGGGAATGTTGAAGAGGGTCTGTACGAATCTGGGTTCTGAGGGCTGGAGAAACTAGGGAGGGCTGGACCAGAGGAGAAGCCTTAGTGAGTAATCCTATTTACTCACAAATGCACTGGAGAAAGTGCCTATGACCTCTCTGTGACAAGCAAGTTGATTGAAAAGCAGGAGCCCCATTTCCAAGTCATTTAAGGAAATGATTCAAATGTCCCCAAGTGATAACTGGTAAAAGGATATGAACATGCAGCACTCAAATGAAGAAATCCAAGCTATCTCTGGCCAGATGAAAAAATGCTGCAGATTCGCTAATAATTAGAGAAATGCAAATTAAAGTAACTTTGATGTTCCACCTCATCCATTAAATTGTCAGAGCTAATCAAGGTGGAAAATGACAAATGTTAGAAGGCTGCCCTCAAAAGGGCCCCTTAATTCATGGTTGGCGGAGCTGTGTATCAGTCTGGCCGTTCTGGAAAGCAATTTGGAAGCATGCCCAAAAGGTCATTAAACTGTGTATTTGACTTAGCAGTACCAGGTCTTACATTAGTAAGGCTAAAATATTATTAATTTGGGCTCCTATTAGTTGGAAAGCTATGAATGATTTGAGGTTTGCTTGAGGGTTGGTGAGGAAAGGGTCTATCTAGAAAGTCAGTTCGGACCACATCTGGGCATGGGAAGATTAAACCTTAATGGGAATGTCAGAAGGGTGGCATGGAGGGAGTGAGCGGACCAGACTGCCCCGGAGCCAGGGGACGGCCACTCCAACTCCAGGCTGATAGTATACTAACCAAATGCTAATGTCCTGCCCGTTTTTATTCTTCTGATCACCCTGTGAATCCATTCGCTCTTACCTAGTAAGACTCTAGCACAGTAGAGGGAGACATGTTTAATCAGGGCTGAGTAATTTAGGGTGTGACCTAGAGCACCTCTAATTTCCCCCTCTTTGGGTTGCTTCTCATGTCCTTTTATCCCCCTCTTCAATCAGGGTGGGTAGTGAAGTAAGCCAGAGAGCCAAGAAGGGCCAGATTCAATGTCCGGTTATTTTTGGTTACCTCCTCAATTAACTTTGGATGGCGTGGGAGAAATAAAGTGAGGTGATGAGAGAAACAGTAACCCATATTTCTAGAGTGTTGTCTGGTTTCCTTGGCACTTTCTTCGTAACAACCTTAGGAAACCACACTAACCTATTTGTGCCTCTCACATGACTCTCCATCTCTCATCTCGGCTTCCCCGGGCCTAGAATGCTCTGCCCCTTTGCCTCCCTTCTCTTAGCTTCTGTGGCTTCCTTCAAGACTGAAGTATAGTAATTCTTAGATGGCAGGAATTATCTCATTTGATCCTCATATCAACCACATGGCATAAGTGGCAGTTAGGTGGTCCAGTGGGTAGAATGCCAGGCCAGGAGTCAGGAATATCTGAGTTCAAATCCAACTTAGTAGCTGCATGACCCTGGAAAAATCACATAACTTCTGTTTGCCTCAGTTTCCTCATCTGTAAAATGAGGATGATACCAGCACTGACCTCCTAAAATTGTTGTGAGGATCAAATGAAATACTAAGTGTAAAGCACTTAGCACAGTGCCTGGCACGTAGTAGGTACTTAATAAATGTTAGCTATTATTATTAGCTATTTATTGATTATAATTATGCTATATATTAGTATATATAACATGTATATTATATGTCATACATAATAATATAATGTAGCATATATTATATAATAATGCATTATACATTTTATAATTAGCTATATTATTAGGGTAGCTAGGTGGCACAGTGGATAGAGTGTCAGGCCTGGAGTCAGGAAGACTCCTCTTCCTGAGTTCTAATCCAGCCTCAGACTCTTACCAGCTGTGTGACCCTGGGTAAGACATTTAACTCTGTTTACCTCAGTTTCCTCACCTGTAAAATGAGCTAGAGAAGGAAATGGCAAACCACTCTAGTATCTTTGCCAAGAAAACCTCAAATGGGGTCACAACTGAATGGACACAACTGAAAATGACTAAACAACAAAAATTATTATTATTATTATTATTATTATTATTATTATTATTATTATTATCTGTAAATGGGGATAATAACAACATCTACTTCCCAGGGTTGTTGTGAGGATCAAATGAGGTAATAATTGTAAATCACTTAGCACGGTTCCTGGCATACAGTAGGTGCTATATAAATGTTAGTTATTATTATTCCCCTTTAGCAGATGGGGAATCAGACTGAGAGAGGTTAAGTAACTAACCAAAGGTCACACAGCTGGCAAATGTCTGAGGAGGGATCAGAATTCAGATTTCCTGACTCTGTGTCCAGTGCTTTAGCCTCCACCCCAAGTTGTGGTGAGTGGCATAAAATAGGTACCCAAAATACAGTGGGGAGCCTAGAAAAGGAAGGGGCTAGGACCTGGGACTGGGAGACAAGCCTTGAACAACAGACAGATCTCTGGGGAAGTAGAGGAGAAAAACTTCCAAATAGGTCCAGTAAATGTCAGTCCATTCTTCAGTAACTGTGTATTTATACAAACTCCCCATTATTTCTCTACCTGTTTCCTCAGTGTGGCATTTTATCTTGGCTTTCCTAAACATGATATTTTCACAAGATATGATTTGGTATCTGATGGGTCCCCTGAACATGAAGGATAATAGTTTCTTAGATGTTTCCTTGTGTGCTCTGGGAACAGTCTGCCCTCAATTTCTATCCTCATCTTCTTCCTCTTTGCCCTCAATTTCTGCCTCTGATTTACCTTGTAAGATAGCAAAGTTTCAATGACCTGTTGGAACTCTGAAACTCCCCAGACCTTCTCGAGCCTCAATTCTCAGCTCATTAAGTGAGGAGTGCCTAGGTTTATGGTGCGTGCGTGCGTGCATGTGTGTGTGTGTGTGTGTGTGTGTGTGTGTGTGTGTGTGTGTGTGTGTGTGTATCAGATCAATGATCTCATTGGCATAGGGAGCTCCCAGTGAGGAACTTCCTTGAGTAACACCCATCAGCATCTGTTCTACAACCTCCAGGACAGCATGGTATAGTGGGAGTCAGAAAGATAGGAGTTCAAATCCTTCCTCATTTACTGTGTGACCCTGGGTAACCACAAAACTGAGCCTCAGTTTCCACCATCTGTAAAATGGGGATAATCATATCCCCTACCTTTTGTCATGAAGATCAGATGAGTTACTGCCTTGAAAACACTTTGCAAGTCTTAACGGTTGTATAAATGCTAGGCAGGTATTATTATAAATTATTATTATTATGTTTTTATATACTACTACTATTATTGTTGCCTAGGGCATTGAAAGGCAAAATAATTTGCCCAGCATCAAGCAGGTATCAGAGACAGGATTTGAACTCTGGTCCTTTGCCTCTCCAGGCCAGTGCTCTATCCATTACACCCCATTATTTCTTCTTGCATCCCACATACTCTAGATGCTAAAATAAGCCCCAGGCTCTTAGGCCTAGCTGGCAATGTTCCTCAGTGCTCCCAGCCACCAGTTTTGGTGTTTTCTCTCTTGTTTGACATTTAAGGTAAACCAGCATTACTCAACATCTCAAACGACCCTCCTCTACAGCTTGGTTTAGAAATGGAATCACACTCTCTTACCTTGAGCCACTTCTAAAGCAAACGTCTTTGCCGGCAAGTCAGCTCCTGCCATCAGCCCAGACTTTGTCCAGAGGCAAGTATTTCCCTTTTCTTCTAGCTATTGTAGTAGCACCCTTTGTGAAGGTGGCCAATGGGCTGTCTGCAAGGAAACAACAATTTCCTGTGAGGTACTAGAAAGGGTACTGATTCTGAGTGAAGTAAGGCAAAAGCATTCAATATTGGCCAGTCCTGAAGCATCAGTGAGCAAGGGTGTGGTGTATTGCAGGGGTGTCAGATTCATAAAGAAAAAGCCATATGTAAAAAAAAAATCCTGCAAGCTGCAGATTAATTTAGAAAAACACACTTTAACATTATATATGTTCTATTATATTTTTATTTTGCTAACTAGTTTTAATCTGGTTTGACCTCACTTGTGGGCTTAAGGTGGTGTGAATCAGGAAGACCTGGATTTGAATTCTGCCACACACCTGTACTGCCTATGTGACCTTGGGCAAGTCTCTCTGGGTCTTACCTCTCAGAGCCTCAGTTTCATCATTTGTAAAAGAAGTGGGCAGGACTTGATGAACTCTATAATTCCTTCTAGTTCTAAATCTCTATGATTCTATAATCCAAGAAAAATGTGGGTACACATGCTGATTTGAAGGTAGTATTGGTTCTCTTCCACTGTCCTAAGCTTGCTAACATGCATGACCCTCAGGACATTCCTTTTCAGTTGACCCTAATCCTCCTCCTTTAGGGACTTGGTGTCTGGCATCTCTCTCTTCCCTTTGCAATGGGAGGGGATGCAGCTCCTACAGTAGAAGGGGTGAAGCCATAGCCAGCTGCCTGTGCCCTCAGCCACCTCTCTGCTTGCTACATATACCCTGTCTGAGCCTGGTAGCTCCTAGTTGCTTTCCTTGTCCTTTCCACTTGCTTCCTCTGGCAGGGAAACCTGGGGGTTACTCCAGGATGGGAAAGGCAAATCACCCAATCTTCTGCGACTGAGTTTCCTCATCTGTAAAATGAAAGCTATTGGAGTAGATGGCTTCTTGGGTCCTTTCTAGCTCTATAATCCTTTCAGATTATGACTAATAACTCTCTGATGTCTCCCCCAGAGCAGCTAGTTGGCGTGCCACCCCTGGAGTCAGGAGGACCTGAGTTCAAATGTGACCTCAGATACATACTAGCTGTGTGACCCTGGGCAAGTCACTTAACCCTGTTTGCCTCAGTTTCCTCATCTGTAAAATGAGCTGAAGAAGGAAATGGCAAACCACTCTAGTATCTCTTCCGAGAAAACCCCAAATGGGGTCACAAAGAGTCGGACGTGACTAATCGACCAAAAGAAAAAAAAAATAAGGTTTCTGTGACTCTTCTGCTCATGCAGTCTTGACATTTAGATATTCTGAGTGAAAAGGTGATGTAACAAAATTGTGCTATTATTTTTATATATTTCATTCATTTCACAAATATTTATACAGTGCAGGCTATTGCCATAGCATTGTGCTAAGCGTTATGAAGGACTCAAAGAAACAGATTAGGTTGTTGCCCTCAAGGAAATAATAATCTTGTTAAGAATCCTGACTATGAAACTTCAGTATCTTCTCTCTGGGAGACCACACACACACACACACGCACACGCACACACACACACACACACACACACACACACACATACACACCCCTAAAAAGCTAAATAGTGCAAGCTCATGTTGGAGAAGTTCTGGATGAGGGGTTCCAAATTCAATTCCAAATCAAGTTCAATAAACATTAATTCAGTGTCTACTGTTACCAATCAACAAGCATTTATTAAACACCTACTGTGATAGTCATTTTGCTAATGACTGGGGACACAGACATCAAAACCAAACCATACGTCTAAGGTTCTTTATGTGTTGGTGAGGTCAGAGGGGCCTACTTGAAGGGCCACCAGACTAGCATAGTCTTAAAGGTTGAGTTAGCTTTCGGAGAGAATTGGAGTAGACATCCTTTTAGAATGCTTTATTCAGTGATTTTCGTCTAGCAATCCTATAACAAAGGTGGTTCAAATATATTACCAAATCCATTTTTTTAAATGACAAAGCCAGCTCAAAGATGTTCGTTGCCTTGCCCGAGTAAGTCACTATCTTAGAAGACAAAGACTTGGATCCAAATCTCCAGACTCCAGGCTTCGTGTTCTCGCCCTCACACTCATGCTGCTTTATAGGCACAAAGCCAAGGAGACAGGAATCAGCAGGGCATGTTTGAGGGATCGCTGAGTAGAACAATCTGATTACAGCAGAGGGCTCTCAATAAGGAACACTGGGAAGTACATTTAGAAATTAAGGGTTCACAGATTTAAGAGCAGGGAATTTAGAGGCTACCAATTCTACCCTCATGTTTTACAGATGAGGAAAATCTAACAAGTATCTGAAGCAGTATTTGAATGCTGGTCTTCCTGACTCCAAGTTCAGTGCTCTGCTCACTACTCCATATTCCCTCTAATTTTGTACCACGTTGCTGAGGTCACCAAGCAAAGAAATTTAGACTTTTTTTTATTGGCAATGGGGAGCCAATTGAAGGCTTGAGGATAAGAAAAAAACAAACTAGTTGTGTGGCCATAGACAAGACACAACCACCATGAACCTCGGTCTCCTCATCTATAAAATGGGAATAGTATGAAACTAGTACCTTCTTAACACAACTGTTGTGTAAGGAAACACAATCGTGAATGCAGCATGTTTTTAAAAACGTTGAAGTTCTATGTAAATCTCCCTTTTTATTATTATTATTGGCTGAGAAGACTAATATGGTAGAGGAGGAAAGAATGGATTGGATATGAGAGCCACTGGGACAAGAAAGGAAGGAAACAAGTATTTATTCAGTGCTTACTATATGCTAGGAACTGTGCTAATCATTTCACAGATATTATCCTGTGTGATCCTCACGACACCATTATTATCTCTATTTTACAGTTGAGGCAACTGAGGTAGACACAGGCTTAAGTGACTTGTGCAGGATCACACAGCTAGTAAACATCTAAAGCCTGATAGGAACTCAGGTCTTCCTGACTCCAGGCAGCCCCTAGAGAAAAGGAGACTTTCAGTATGTTTTCTACTCATCACTCAGAGCAAACTGGTCACAGATTGGCCTTTAGATAGCTTCCCACCACATTCCCCTGATAGGTGGAGGGGAACCTGGGAAGTATCATTAGTAGAAGTATTTATGTGACATGAACCATATTTGCAGGCTCAGGATGAACGAGTACCACTGTGGTCAGTGTAAGGACCACTGGATTTCAAGTCAGAAGACGTGGTTCTGAATCCTAGCTTGTGACGTTGGGGAAGTCACTTATTCTCTCTCTAGGCCTCCGTTTCCTCATCCATAAAATGGCAGGGTTGGATTAGGTGATGTTCAATGTGCAAGCTCTGCTTTTTATAATCCTACAGATTTAAGAGATACTGCTTAGGAAGGATTGATAAGACTCAGTGACAGTCTGGAAAGGAAGTGAAAAAGAACGGAGCAAAGATGGCTATTTGACATCCATACTTGTTCATTGATTGATAGGAGACAAGAGTATGCTGGATAAATGTCACCATACCGAAATGGGGCTCACCTCAAAGAGTGTCACCCAGAATTTCAGAACTAGAAAGGACCTCAAATGTTCTGTTCTCTAAATAAATCCATTCATTTTTATACATGAGCAAAAGGCTCAAAAAAGGCTGGAAGGAGTTTAGGGACTTGTTTCAGGTTACATGGGTAGTAAGTGGCAAAAATAGGACTCAGTTTAGGTCTTCTGATTCCTCTCTACCAAATAATGTCTTTCAAGCCTAGTGTCAAGAAGACTCATCTTCCTGAGTTCAAATCTGGCCTCAGACATTTTCTAACTGTGTGACCCTAGGCAAGTCACTTAACCCTGTTTGCCTCTATTTCTTTATCTGTAAATGAGCTGGAGAAGGAAATGGCAAATCACGTTAGTATCATTGCCATGGAAACCCTAAATGGGGTCATAAAAAATCAGATACAACTGAAACAACTCAGTAACAATAACAAACCAATTGAGATATAATTTGGGATGATACTAAAGTATTACTAGCACTAAACTCTACCCACAAAGGGTGTTAAAGCAACTCATTGTGGAAGGAGCTTTTACTTTGACTTCTATCAAATATTTCTCATAGATTTTTTTTTGGAGTGGTTCAAAACTTGACTTAACAAATATTTATTCTCCAAAAGGTAGAGAAAGTGATTCAGGAAATCACTATTTGTATATGATTCTTGAAAATGAGGAGGAACTAGCCCGCAATGCAGAAATGGCATGCATTTTAAGGGGGAAGGTCTGTCTCTGTCTTAGACTTGTAGCAAAGTCAGGTATAGCCTGACATACTGGGTTTGGGGAGAATATATTTCAAAGAATTGAGAGAAAGTATAGGCAAATTCCCATGGATTATGGTTGTTTAAGAAAAGTAAGCCCCACAGCCATGAGAAACTCTCAAAAATGAAATTCTGGAAACATAAAGAAAAACAATTCTCATAGGGAGGAAAAGGAATTCTCTAAAGAGGCTCTTATAAATGTACATGGAACTCATCAGACAACCATTATTTTAAAAGGACACATAGAAAAGATAGAAGGAGGGGAAGTCACAGAGGATGAATAGCATAGTGTAAGGGAAACTGAGACTCAGAATGACCTGAGGTTGGTTAGGAATGATTAAGGACAACACAAAGAGTGAGGTTTTAAAGGTCATATTCAGGGAAAGAAGAGAAAAGGAGCATGATGATAGATTGGACAATGATAATGCGTGACTGAGAGAAGGCAGAGCCATGAATTCTATTTTGTTCTTGTTTTCTTGGCCAAGGAGAATGATCTTTGGCCTGCAAAAGAGAGGACAAAATGGTATAATGGGGAATTGAAAGCAAAAATAACTAAAGAGGCAACTTGGTGTTCAGTTGTGTCTGACTCTTCATGACCGCATTTGAGGTAGCAAAGCTACTAGAGCGGTTTGACATTTCCTTCTCCAGCTCATTTGACAGATGAGGAAAGTGAGCCCTACGGGGTTAAGTGACCTCCCCAGGGTCACACAGCTAGGAAGTGTCTGAGGCCAGATTTGAACTCATGAAGATGAGTCTTCCCGATTCCTAGCCCAGTGCTCTATCC